ATATTTTTGAAAAAAAGAGTTAACTCTTGGTATTATTCATAAAACTTGAGGTTAAATTCGCTATTTTATTGCTAAAACTTACATTAAAAACTGAAAAAGACAACTAATTTAAATTATTTGAAACAACAATTTAATTCTAAAGTGGCAACTATTTTGAAACAGAAAGAGTATGTATATTTCATGTTTTTTCCTTTTCATGTTTTCAAATTTTGCTTCCAAAAACTATCACCAGTTCTAGCTAAGATTCTAAAAATATCACAATCTTAAGATTTAAGAACAGTTCTTGAGTGTTTAGGAAGGAGTCCTAACAATATGATTTAGTAACACTTCTTAAACCTAAAATTTGAGATATCTTGGGGAAATTTGTAATATTTTGGGTATTTCTCTACACTTCTTACTTTGATAGATTAAAAGAATTTAGATGATTTATTGAAGTATGAAAGATCGCCCGTATACAAAGAAAAAATGTTGATTTTCATTGAGCATCTCTTAGAATATTGTTTTTTTTTTAAGGTTCATTTGTATTCAAATAAAAAAACAACGTTTTTACATAGAGCTATCGAAACCCAAATTGAAAATGAACAATCTCATCGTATTAATTTAAAGGTCGAGAAGAAAACCAAAACTGAAGGCCTCTTAGAATATTGTCAATAGCCATATATTTAACGATAATTTCGAATATTGTGAAGTCATTGTAATACTATGCGATATAATTGTCACATACATGCAGGTGTGAAAGATTTGTATTCCTTGTGGGTAAATAAAGGTGGTTCAGAACCAGCAATGGTTGATCTAAAGACATGGTTAGAGGACATGACGCTGAACATGATCGTGAGAATGGTGGCCGGAAAGCGATACTTTGGAGGCTCAGCATCCCCTGAGGACACCGTAGAGTCGAGGCAATGCCAAAAGGCTATCGCAAAGTTCTTTCACCTCATCGGTATATTCACTCTGTCCGATGCATTTCCGACACTAACGTGGTTTGATATGCAAGGACATGAGAAGGAGATGAAGAAAACGGGTAGCGAATTAGATGTGATCCTTGAAAGATGGATCGAGAGTCATCGACAACAACGAAAAGTTTCAGGAAAGAAAGAGAATAATGATGCAGACTTCATTGATGTTATGTTGTCGCTTGCGGAACAAGGCAAACTCTCACATCTTCAATATGATGCAAATACTAGCATCAAATCTACTTGCCTGGTACATCTTTAACTATACCATAATCTTTATTATTTTTATTTTTGGGGTAACCAAAATGTTCTTAACTATCTAGAAATTAACTTTGGATATTGGAGGAGATTATTAGTTGTTAAGGATTTAACGCCTAAATCATGTCCCAAACTATTTGTTCGATTCACATATATTAAACACACTAAACAATTGAAACATGAACACCACAAATGTTCACCCTGAGTTCACTGAAGCTACGTTTCAGAGGTGGAGACTCTCCTCCACAACTGCATCCACTATGAAGATCGGAAAACACCTCCGATGTGGTTTACACAAGAAGATCATTCACTCTCTCTATCTCCGGTTAAACAATCCGAGAGAGTACAAGGAGAAACAAGGAAGAAGAAATAGTACGAGCAAAGCTTAAATACAAAGAAAACACCGCTCTAGCTCTCTCTTGCTCTACGAGCCACCGTTGAGGCGCTCGGAATCCTTTGGATTCAGGATTAGGTTTTCCTTGTGCCACACTCTTGTATTTATAGCTAGGAATCCTAGAAGCCTTATGTGATGGGCCATACCATAGTTTGAGCCCACCATGAAGGCTAGTAGTAAGCCCATTTGCTGGTCCAAGTCGTGAGTGACTGAAGTCCGACTTCTCACAATCTCCACCTTCGGATTCACAGCTCTCGACACCTCCGCAA